ACAAAAGTATAAGATGTTTTACCATAGCAATTATTTAGTATCTTTCTCTTGCTTTTTATGATTCCATCTTCAGAGTTTGAGCAAATTTTAGTTTAGGGTAGTATGGTAGTTTGAATGTAATTGGTCCCCATAAGCTCACAGGGAGTGACACTATTAGGAGGTGAGGCTTTGTTGGAGTGGGTGTGGTCTTGTTAGAGGAAGCATGTCATCATGGGGACAGGCTTTGAGGTTTCCTATGCTCAAGATACCACCCAGTACGTCAGTCAACTTCCTGTTGCCTGCAAGATGTAGGAATCCCAGTTACCTAGCCAGCACCATGTCTGCCTGTACAACACCATGCTCCCCATCATGATGATAATGGACTAAACCTCTGAAACTATAAGTGAGCCCTCCAATTAAATGTTTTCTTTACAAGAGTTGCCATGGTCATGGTGTCTCTTCACAGCTATAAAACCTTAAGACAGAGAGTGTGTGTGTGTGTGAAGTGTGTGTGAGTGTGTGTGTGTTTGCTTTCTTTTCAATGTTGGAACCTGAACATAGGGCCTGGCATGTGCTGGACAAGTACTCTGCCACTGAGCTGTATTCCCAGCCCACACATTAATTTGTATCCACGTATCAACCAATCCTAATGATAATTAGGATCCAGTAGGTTAATGCAGAACCGCATGCTATAAAACACAGGTCGTGGGTTTATTTGTTACATGCTCCAAAGTCATTGCCTTGTGCACAATAGACAACCCATTTTCATCTTATTCTTTCATGCACTTAGCATTTATTACGGGTTTTCTAAGGGGCAGGCATTCCAGGTCCCAAGAATATATCACTGAACGAAGCAGACATATGGCCCTGCCCCATAGAGCTGATGTTTTAGTGGGGTTTATAATCATTCTTGGACAACCTGTTTTGAGAAGGATTCCACTTCTTTTGTGGTGAGGGAAATAAATGAACAGAATCTTATGTCAACGGACAATGGCAGCCCAACATAGTAGCTGGGCTTTTGGGTTTTTGGCCAACAGACTGTATTTAGTTCTGACTGTAAATAGAGATCCCTTTTGCTATTCTTGGCCCTAGGGTTTTCTTTCTTTTTTTAAAATGCTTTATGAATGGTGCTAAATTTCATGAATTTGAAAGTCCCAGCAGAATTATTATTCCAGTCATTTTTTGTTTATCTATGGTAAATTTACATGCATTGAAAGACACAGTCCCATAGATTCATTAATTTAATATTTGTTTACTTATGCCATGTGCTGCCTGCCTGCCAGGCAAGCGTTCTGCAACTAACCCACATCCCCAGCCTGTGTTCACATTTTTAAGTAAGGATATGTGTACCTTCTGCAGCTGCAGTGCAGGATAGAATTACATACCGTGTTCAGAGAGATGATTTCTAGACCCAGCAGGATGCTGAATCGGTAAGAGGAGATTTAATTATGTTCATTAGGCAACTTATTAAAGCAAGGAAATGGACTGAGGCAATTTAGAGCGATTTCAGACAAAAAGGTGTCTTCTCATTAACCCACAGTTAATCAGAAACCCAATTAACCAGTGTGCTCTGCCCTAGGAGTTCCCTCCTTCCAGACTCACTCACTCTTCTTTACAGCCGTGACCACGTCACCCGTCCAGATCCCAGCTCACATTTACTGCACGGAAATCAATGGATTGCTGTGACCTCAACAGTATGGGAAAAGCTTCCAGGCGCCTCAGAGACTGGGAGCTGTTCTGCTTAGAAACAGACACAAATGACACATCCGGGTCTAAATTTTGCTTTAAAAACACTCTAGAAGTAGCACATTGAGTGTCCTAGTCAGGGTTACTATTGCTGAGATGAAACACTAACAAGCAAACCAATCTGGGGAGGAAAGGACTTAATTGGCTTACACATCTACATCATAACTCATCACTGAAGGAAGTCAGGACAGGAACTCAAGCAGGGCAGGAACCTGGAGGCAGGAGCTGATGCAGAGGCTTTGAGGGATGCTGCTTGCTGGTTTGGCGCCCTATGACTCACCTGCCTAGGGATGGCACCACCCACAATGGGCTCAGCCCCCCCTTCATCAATTACTAATTAAGAAAACGTCTCAGGGGCCTGCCTACAGATCTCAGTGGAGGTTCCTCTCAGACGGCTCTAGCATATGTCAAATTGCTATAAAACTAGCCAGTACAATTAGCGTATGCAAAAAATTAAACAACTATTTTCCAAACGTGTTTTTATTTTAAGTTGGCATACAAAATGGCGTTGCACTGTGCATTTTCATGCCTGTGCATGCGCAGCTGACTCACATTCACTCCCGGTAAACAGGTTCCTTACGCCTCCACAGATCCCTTTGCTTTCACGTTCACCTCCGCTTCTTCTCCTACACATAGGTGAGACAAATGTCCTGATTATCTGTTTGGTTTACTTTGCTTAACATAGCGATCTGCAGTTCCAGCTGTCTTCCTGAAAATGACAATTTTATTCTTTTCAGTGACTAAACAACACTCCACGAAGTGTGTATACCACATTTGCTTTATTCATGTTGATGGACTCTCGGGCTGACGATTCCTCGGCTTGCTGTTGTCACTGGCCCTGTAGTGAACAGGGTGTGTGAGTACTTCTCTAGTAAGCTATGGTCCTTGGGGACCTATGCCTAGAAGGGATATTGCCGGGTCATGCGAAAGCTCTAGCTTAAGTTTTTAGAAGTGTCCATGTTGCTTCTCATAGTGGCCAGACTTAGTATTGCAGTGTAGTGATACATTTATGAGTTAGTAAAGCTTGCCTGAAGGTCTGAAAAGCAAAGCAGCTGGCCACAAATCCTTTCCTCTACCTCAGGCAGAAAGGGCTGACCCATGAGCTCTCCTCAGCATGGCTGGAGACTGAACACTCCTATCTTCAGTGTAGCTTCAGAATGAAAGCCTCCTAGTCAATACTGAAGACTCTTTTGTACCCCTCTGGTGCTGGAATTAAAGGAGTGTGATCTGTTACTGTTTTAGACTGATTCAATCTCATGTAGACCTGGGTGGCCTTGGACTCACAGAGGTCCATCTACCTCTTCATCTCGAATTCTAGGATTAAAGGTGTGCACTACCACCTCCTAGCTTCTGGCTGCTGGGATTAAAGGTGTGTGCCTGGCTTCTATGGTTTGTGGCTGACTGTGTTTTCTGAATCTTCAGGCAAGCTTTAATGAATCATAAATAGTATATCACCACATTAGCAGTTTAAGATGTGAGCCCTTAGCTTATGCTCTAGCCACCATGCTTGCTTACTGCTGGCTTCTTTAGCATGATGGGCTCTTAGCCCTCTGGATCTGTAACTCCCCCCCCAGAAAAGCCCTTCCTTCTGTATAAATTGCCATGGTTGTAGTGTCTGATCACAGCAATAGAAAAGTAACTAAGACAGAAGTTCGTACCAGGAGTGTGGTGTTGCTGTGATAGACCTGGCCATGCTGTGTGTTGAAAAGACTTTGGAATTTAGGATTGGAAAAGCAGTTGAACACTGTCATCAGAGCTTAATGGTCCACCATAGTAATGTTGTGCCCAAATTCTGAACCCCAAAATCACCGAGACCTGATCTGATGCAAAAGCAAAGAGTCTTTTATTGTTTAGCAAGTTAACTGTATTTAATTAGGTTTCTCCATCTGTTTGACATAGAAGGTGGGACAAGAAGGACCTGGAAGGACCTAGAAGCAGGGAAGTTTGGGGGGTGAGCAAGGGGAGTATCTGGGGGTCCACAACAGTCTCAGGATTGGTGATTTTCAGGCTTGGACAACCTGTCCTGAGTTGATTGGTCAACTGCAACAGGTCGGTTGCCATGCTCTGCATTCTACTGTTATCATAAAGTACATCCAGAGCCTGCAGCTAACTTCTGATTGGTTCCTTGCCACATGGAGGGTATCTGACCTCCTAGGGAGGGCAAAGTCAGAAGTTCAGCACATGTTGCTGAGTCAAGGGCCTTGTCTGGCTGAGTCTTTTCTGCAGCTTGTCATGGTTGCCAAAGCAGGAGGCTGAGTGAGGGGTCTGGTACCTTCAGTAAGAACTTGGAAACAATAGTGCTGAGAACTTGGAAACAATAGTGCTGAGAAGAGTTATGTGGACTGAGAAGGCCTAGCTCAGCTCAAGAGTTTCTGAAGGAGCAATACTCAGAACTGGACTAGAGATGATTCTTGTGATATTTCAACAAAAATTATGGCTGCTATTTTGCCCTTGTCCTAAGTACTTGCCTGAGACTAATTTTAAAAGAAAAAGAGTAAGTTATTTGGCAGAGGAGTTTCCAAGATAACCTCACAGTGACTCTGTCACATGATTATTAGTGATCACTCTTATAGTTTACGATGACAAAGATTAATGAGGCAGAAAAAAATGTACAATTTAAAGAGGAAAAGACCACCAGGAAACTTTTATGTTACAACCATTGCTTGGGCTGAATGAGGTGAGAAGCAGAGGCCTGATCTACATTGGAATAAAGGGAAGGCTGCCCTCAGGGAAAGATGCCTCTTGGCTAAGCCTCCAACTTGGAAAAAGAAAAGGCCTAAGGATTTAAACCAAGGCTGATGCTGATGTGCTTCAGTGGGGGTAAGGATGCATTCCAGGCTGGCAGTGTCACCCATGTGGCCAGGATTCAAGAGTAAAGGGGTCATGGAATCTTCCTTCATGGTTTCAGAGAGCTGCTGAGGCCAGGCGATAGTGGTAGGGAAGTTCTTCTATGAGAGCCTTGAGAGACAAGAGACCCTAAGAGGCAGTCGCATCAAGCTGTGGGAGTGAATCCGAGGATGTTGGAAAGGGCAAAGCTGTGAGGCATTCATCACAGGGAGCTGCCCACAAGGAGTGGGGCCAGCTCAAGACAGACAGGTGCATTGCGTGCAGCAGAGTTGAAAAACCGGGGCCGTCTAAGCCCTTTAACACCGCACACAAAGCTGCAGGACTTGGAGTTTACCCTGCTGGGTTTCAATCTTGCTTTGGTTCTGTATTTCCTCACTATGCCCCTATTCCTCCCTTCTGGAATGAATGCATATTCTGTGCCATTGTATGTTGGAAGTATAATATAATTTGCATCTTGGTCAAGATGGAGGCACTGATCTTGGAGCCCTCCCTGTACACTGTCAAGGCCATCCTGATTCTGGACAATGATGGAGACCGACTCTTTGCTAAGTACTATGATGACACCTACCCTAGTGTCAAGGAGCAAAAGGCCTTTGAGAAGAACATTTTCAACAAGACCCATCGGACAGATAGTGAAATTGCCCTGTTGGAAGGGCTGACAGTGGTCTATAAAAGTAGCATCGATCTCTATTTCTATGTGATTGGCAGCTCCTATGAAAATGAGTTGATGCTTATGGCTGTTCTGAATTGCCTCTTTGACTCCTTGAGCCAGATGCTGAGGAAAAATGTAGAAAAACGAGCTCTGTTGGAGAATATGGAGGGACTCTTCTTGGCTGTGGATGAAATTGTGGATGGAGGGGTGATCCTAGAGAGTGACCCCCAGCAAGTGGTGCACCGGGTGGCTTTGAGGGGTGAAGACGTCCCCCTTACTGAGCAGACCGTGTCTCAGGTGCTACAGTCCGCAAAAGAACAGATCAAGTGGTCCCAAGATGTTCTGTGCTCGGTTCCTTGCCCCTCAAAACCCCACATCTGCTGTGACTTCTTATCCAGGCCCCCAGCAGATGCTCTTAGGGTCATCTTGGAGAATCACAGTGGTCCCTTGTCTCTCTCGCCTTTCTAGGGTCTCCCTCCCCTTCCTTTCCTCTCGAGGGCAGATTTGAGAAATTTCTCAAATCTTCTGCCCTTGAGAGGGAAACACCCTCTTCCTACTACACTGGTCCTCCTACCCCCACATTCTCTCCTGGTTCCTTGGCCCTTTTCTGTGGCTTTACTTAAGATCAAAGCAGGAGAAAGAATGTGCTGAGTGTTTTCCTCCCTGTGCCTTAAGGGCCCTCATCCCAGAAGCCCATATGTCCAGCAAAGGGGAGGACTCCCTCCTTCGGCACAAGTGAGTGTGGAGTGGCAGAGCTGTGCATCTTGGCTGCCCTATCCTCTGCCTTGGAAGAGATTAGGGACGGCTTATGGGAGGGGGACAGATCTGCAAAGAAACAGTGACCTAAATGCTGTGGGAGGCTATGCAGTGCAGTTTCTACCATCATCTGGACCTTTAGCTTCAAAGCTCCAGTGCCTGCACATGAACATCTACTCTAGGTCTGTTCCACACCTGCCTGCATCACCTGTGAAATCTGCCTAGCGTAGTCTCTGGTACCCTGGAGCAAAGCCAGACCTTGGAACTAAAACTGCAGTAGTTTCTACTCAGAACCTGGGAAGGAAGGGGCCTAGTGACTTGGGCCTCGCCATCGTCCTTCTCAGCTCTTCCACTCACATTCCACTGCCTTGGTTCTGCAATCTGCTGTTGAGCTCTCCCCCTCTGCTTCTGCCTTCCCTGGAAGCGGGTGTCTGGTGCAGCCCCTTTCCTCCAGGGCTTGGATTCCCGTTCTTGGGTGTAACGTTGCTCCTTGACCCCACCCCTCTGTAAAAAATGTCTTAGAATTCTGCCCTCTGCGTTGACTGAAGTGGGCAAACTGGAGGCGGCCTCTGCAAGAAATGGAGTCAGGGAAGTCCACCTTGTATGCTGCTATGCGTCAGGTGAATAAAGTGAATCTCTTCCAAAAAAAAATATAATTTGCATCTTGATTTTAAGAGGTTTACAATTAAGACATTGCCTTGAGTCTCAGAAGAGACTTGGACTTTGGACTTCCAGTGTTGAAACTGTGAATGACCATGGAGACTTTTGGAATTGGACTAATTAAGATATGGCTACAAGCCAGTGAGGGCCGAGGGGGTGGGATGTGGTGGTTTGAAATGGAACGAATACTTGGCCACCAGTTGTTTGCAAAGCATTAGGAGGTGTGAGGAGGAGGTGTGACCCTGGTGGCAGGCTTAGAGGTTAAAAAAACTCATGCTAGTCCCAATGTATTCTGTGTGTGCATGCGTGTGTGTGTGTGTGTGTGTGTGTGTGTGTGTGTGTGTGTGTGTGCGCGCGCACGTGTGTCCGTCAGTCTGTCTGTCTGTCTGAAGTTCTGGATCAGGATGCTAACCTTCAGTTGTTCTTTCACCCATCATCAGGTTTCTGGTATCCTCCACTTCCTTTCCTTGGTGGGTTAGTCTTTTAGAGACATTTTACAAAATGTCCTCTCTCTTTCTATCTTACTTTCTTTTATTCCTTATTCTTCAAAAATATCCTTCCTCATCATTTAAAACATCAACCTTAATACTTGTGTCATTCAGGTAAGGCAAGTTCAACAACATGAGGCAAGTGTCTGAAGGCTCATAGGAGAAGTCTCCGTGTGAAGCCTGGGGTGAAGCCTGCGGCAGAAAAGGCTCAGCGTCTAATCAAGGAGACACAGTGTATCGGAAGAAACAAGTCAGAGCAGAAACCACGACAGGAACCCGCAGGACTTGGCTTTGAGGGTAGCTCTAGAGTGCTGAGCAGCTAGAAGACAAAGGACAGAAGCAAACCAACTGGCCATCTGCCAGAAAGTGTTATGCCAGTTCAAAAGTAATGGCCGCCTTCTTAGTGCTCACCCCCAAGTAAGGCCCAAGGATGTCTATTAAAAATAAGGATCTAGAGATGCAGGTCAGTGGAACAGTGTTTGCTTAGCATGTGCAAGTTCCTGGGTTCAATCTCACCCAAAATAGAGTCAGAAAATAAGATCATTGCTAGTGAGAATGAATATTAGTGAGGTCTTATGAAAAACATTTTAGAGGTTCCTCAAAATAAAAAAGTAGGGAAGAGGTGCTAGAGATGGCTCCATGGGTAAGAGCATTTGCGGTGCATGCATGAGAGCCTGGGTTTAAATTCACATACAAAGCTGGGCATGGTCATATGCACTGGAGTGGAGAGACAGGCAGATCCTGGGATCTCACCCGAAAACATCGGGCATCAGCACACACACCTGCAACCCCAGTGTTGTGGGGCGGAGACAGGGGGATCCTTGGAGGCCACTGGCCAGCCAGTCTACTGCAAATAGCAACTGAAGTGCTGAAAGACCCAACTACCAGAACTCTATGCCAGAGACGCCTGCGCTCTCATGCTTAGTACACCACCATTCTCACAAGCCAAGATACGGAAGTGACCCAAATGCCAATCAAGGGCTAAATGGCTGAACAATTCAGTCAACCCAAACGAACAGACAAAACAGAAGCCTATGGTATCAATACATTATGGGATACTGTTCAGCCTTGAAAGGCCGAAATCTTGTCTTTTACAACATGTGTGGACCTGGAGGCCTTTGATCTACTCTGAGCTGATTACTGTGCCCTAATTTAATTCTTCTGCATGCAATGGGAATGCAGAATGTATAATGAATTCAAAAGCTGAACACCAGGGGCTAGAAAAGTGACTCAGAGGTCAAGAGCACTGGCTGCTCCTCCAGAGGACCTGGGTTCAACTCCCAGCTCCCCACTTATGCAGCTCACAACTGGCTGTAACTCTAGCCAGTCTGATGCTCTCTTCTGGTCTCTGCAAGCACCTGCATGTACACATACACACACACACACACACACACAAAACATACACAGACACATATGAATACATATAGGTGAAATAAACACACATGCCTAAAAAATAATAAAAATAATTCTTAAAAATACCCTCATTGACCTTCACCTCATCCAGTTAGGATGCCTATTATCAAAGAAACAATAAAAGCAACAACAAAATCCAAACAGAAAGTTGTTACAGGAAGCATAAATTATAACAGTCATAAAAACAATATGAGAATTTCTCACAAAACTGAAAATAGAAAGCCATAGGACTCAGTGATTCCACTACTAGTATAAGTTAAAAAATTGTTACTCCCCAAAGACACTTCCACTGCCATGGCTATTGCCAAACTAGCCATAATAGTAAAGATGTGGAATCAACCACATGCCTTTCAGTGGATGAAAGGAGTTTGAAATGTGGTATATACCACGGAATATATGTGGTGTATACAATGGTGTATACACTAGAGCATACAATGGTGTATACAATGGAGTATACAATAGAACATACAGTGGAGTATACAACGGTGTATACAATGGTGTATACAATGGTGTGTACAATGGAGTATACAATGGTGTGTACAAAGGAGTATACAATGGTGTGTACCATGGAGTATACAATGGTGTGTACAAAGGAGTATACAATGGTGTGTACAAAGGAGTATACAATGGTGTGTACAATGGAGTATACAATGGTGTGTACAATGGTTTATACAATGGAGTATACAATAGAGCACAAAATGGAGTATACAATGTAGTAAACAATTCAGCCACAAGAAAAAAATGAAATCCTATGATTTGCAGCAATGTGGATGGAACTGGAGGTAATTATGCCAAATGAAATAAGTCAGACACGAAATTATAACACACTGCACTCACATTTATTTGTGGAAACTATTAAGTTAATCTTTTAGAGAATGAAATTGAATAGTGACTGCTGGCATCTGGGAATAGAAGGGGAGGATGGGGAGGAGAGACAGAAATAAGTTCAATGAGGGCCATCAAATACAGGTAGGGTGGGGGAATCACTCTGGTTCTTCCTTATCACAGATGACAGCAGGTTAAAGAAATCTTCCGTCTATTTAAAACTGATTTTAAAAAGAATGAAATTTCCATCAGACATAAATGACCAAGGTTTGGGTCGGCCAGATGACTCAGTGGCACTTGCTGCTGTACCGGATGTCTTGGATTTGGTCCTCAGGTCGCACAAAGTGGAAGGAGAGAACTAACCCCACACATTGTCCTCTGACCTTCACGTGTGTGTCATGGTACATGCTTGCCCACACACACACACACACACACACACACAATAAATAAATGAATGTAATAAAAATTTTGAAGAAGTAACTTACGTTTGAAGAGAAGGGAATGTTTATTATCCTGATTTGATCATTATACATTGCATGTATTGGATTACCATAAACTACCATTTGTGCTCTATAAGGATGTACACATGTTATACAGCATAAAATGTAATTAGTTAATTTTCAAAAAGAAAATAACCAGGTAGTTGACAGACTTATGCAACTGTATTATATATTCATCCCAAGTGTATTAATTTAGCTGAATCACTAAGCATGCCACCGAAAGGAGTGTGTCCAGGCACAAACATCAGAAATGTAAAATGGCAGGTGAGGGGAGAGGGAGGGAGAGACCTGTGCCAGATGGGAACCAATAAAAACAAGCAGGTGGATCTCTGAGTTCAAGGCCAGCCTGGTCTACAGAGCAAGTTCCAGAACACCCAAGATTACACAGAAAAACCCGGTCTTGGAAAAACAAACATTAAGCCAGATATTGTGGCATACGCCTTTAATTCCAGCAGAGGCAGGTGGATCTCCAAGTTCGAAGCCAGCCTGGTCTACATGGCAAGTCTCAGGACAGCCAGAGCTACATAATGAGAGAGAGGGAGAGGAGGGAGGAAGGGAGACAGAGAGAGGGAGACGAGAGAGAGACGGAGACAGAGAGACCCTGTCTAAAAACAAGCAAACATAATTAAAACAACTTCACCCGGGCTGAAGAGATGGCCCAGTGGTTGAGAATGTGTACTGCTCTTGCAGAAGACTGGGTTCAGTTTCCATACTCATGGGGCGGCTCACACTGTAACCCTGGTTACAGGGAATAAGAGCCCTCTGGCTTCTGAGGGCCCATACACGCACGTGATAATCATAAACTCATGTATCCTCACATACTTACATACGTACATACATACATACATACAA